TATATATATATATATAATTTGATGCCGAACACGAACAAACAATTTTTTTGTTCCACGAGCAACAAACACTTTTGACAGCCCTACTAATGTGCCGAACATGAACAAAAACACTTTTGACAGCCCTACTAATGTACTAAACTAATTAAAATTGTAAATTAGACTGAAACAGTACATTTGAAAACCATTGCAACGACTTTATGGGGAAGGGCGACTCCGCAGAGAAAAATAGGACGAGTGCCGATAACTGTGAAGGAAATTCTCAAATACTTTATATATATACTTTTTTTTCTTGGCACAGGACTTTGATCTTGGCATCTTCAAAGTTAGAAAATAATGTCTACACGTTGCACTTCCACCCGTCAGTCTGAACATTACATCCTCATACATCTCATTTGTGAGGGACATGGTGCCCCTTTATCGGCCATCCGAAAGTTCGCACGCCCGGACAATATTTTCTCCCTTTAAAGTAGGCATTATTGTTGATATGGCCCAGCAAGATAGTAAGGAACTCTGTAACGTCAAAATTAAAATAATCATTTGAGGCAGCATTTACATACCACCCAATTCTAATGTATTTACATATCTAACACCAACAGTTTATCTTTTACAATTATACCACCCAAATCTTTCACATCACATAAAAACATATCACCAAATTCACTTTTTGATGCATAGGGCAGAAGATATGTATGTAAAAATTGAAGTTAAATTGAAGTTTAAGCGTTAGATAAGATAATACATAAGAATTTAGTTGTATGTATATTAGATGATAAAAACAAGTTAGATGGTTTTTAATCGCCTAAATACAACATAGGGCTCGAAAAAACTTTCATGTCACAATAATGAATGATGGAAATTCGCTGTTACTCAAAATAAGAGAAATTTTATGCATTCAAAGATTTGAGAAAAGATTGCACCTACAGTTCTCTTGAGAGCACATATAGAAAATGCAATAGACATAGCAATCGATATGAAAACTTTAGAGAGTTCAATCTTAAGACCTACGCCCACTGTTTGTCGAGTCAAAAGCAGTACTTACAATTTGGGAAGAACAGAGTGCAAATGTTGCCTTTATGATGGATAAATATGGCTTTCAAAAGGGGTTTGTGTCTGATTGACGAATGATCATGTTTCTTCTCAAGATTAACATTACTCCCCATATGTTACTCCCAAGATATCGGACAAGCATTTATGTAAGGAAATTTACATACATAACATACAATTCATATGTATTTAAATATCTCACACCTAAACTTTTATATTTATATACATAGCAGTTCAGTGTTTTAAACCTATGCATGAAAAAGACGTATTGCGTTTTTAAAAAGTGAAAATAGTGCCACTTTTAATGTGATATGAAGGCTTTGAGTGCTGTCTGTAAATATGAATAATTACATGTAAGACATGTAAATACAATGTATGCAAGTGTTGTTATTTATAATAGTGTTTGTTATTGAGAAAAAAAAGAGAAAGATCCATTAAATGTTAAAATATACCTAACATAAGGAGTTATCCTGTAAAGATAAAGAATAATGCATAGTGTCTCATTTGAATAATTCATTCTCAAACGTATAATGACTTCCCTCGATGAATAATAATGCATCTCATTTGTGTTGTCTTTAGATGATGTTCATGTTTGCCCAAGTGCTTGTTTAATGTGTTCCCAAGAGACTTGGGAGATCTTTTGTGATTGACTTTAAGAGAGATTTCAAGAAGTAGGACATTAAAGGATAGGAATTTTAAGAAATGCTCGCGTGCCTCCGTTTACAACAAAAAAGTGCATGTGTGTGGTGAGAAATGCCCGTTCAACTGCAAAAAAAAAAAACAAACAAACAATGGTTTTTGTTTTCACAAAAATATTATTGTAAAAAAGTCTATATAAGACAACATTGTCGCAAACACTTTGAATAGATAGACCAATAAGAACTCTTCTCAAACCAGAATAAAACACTCAAAATTTAATTGGTCTGTCAATAAAAACAGTCCAGATAAAAATTTGCATTTTCTTTTTTGGAAATGTAGCATTGCTCGTTAAAGAAATTCAGTGAGAAGACCATTCAACAACATCTAAGCAAAAACTAACACCACTTTTAATCTGAAAAATTATGTAAGTTGCAGATATATCTTATCATTCTCCAGTCAAAGATGGCTGACAAACCAATTATATGCGGAGCAATTACAGCCTCCTCCCTCTTCTGCCACCCTTTCGGCGAGTGCTGTCAGTTGGAATCGGGGTCACATCCTCTGTAAATTGCATAACAGATCTATTATAGAGGAATAATTTAATGAAAAAAAAAATTATTTATGCAAGCCGTCTTGAACTTATTGGTCGAGAGCTCAGAATTTCAACAACAATTTTAGGCCTTGCATATTTAAGTGTGAATTTGCAATTAAATTCGCTCACATGTCCCAAACAAAATGATTGAGAAAAATTACCCACAAAACTTCATCCATATATCTATATTAAAACACTGATCAGAAGATTGGATTTTTGGCAATATTCTTGTGAAGGAGTATAGTCTAAATCAAATTCAGATCAAAATCTAGTCCAAAAGTGGATCAAAACAAGCACACATGACTGTGGCATTCTATGCATGTAAGAGAGTTAATACGTATAACTTAGTTGAAAATTCGACTTAAATAAAAAAAGTGATGAACAATTACTAACTTGATGCAAAAAATATGTATATCTAATATGTTCTATATTTTACATTCATTAAGTCATTCATATGTCATTAAGAATATGTGATTGTAGTTAGCTTATTTTGCATTTTACAATGTAGTAAGGTTGTGTATTTTTTTAAGTATTAGCGGTCATATTTACCAAACGCACCTAAGCTCCTTCTAGATTTTTTTTCCTCCATTTTAATGTTAATGAAAGTATTGAAACCAATTCAAATTATACAGAAGTTTCTTGTTGTGTGCCAGGAAAATCACTGCCAATGGCAAAAAAGAATCGGGGCTTTTAATTCTTTTTTGCACACAAATCTTCCTATTCATCCATCAAATCAAGGTGTCTACATCTCTTTGGTTACTTTGTTATCTATTCTTTTATCAAGGTCTTACCATTCTATCGTCTTTCCTTTTATTTCCCCCATTTGGTATCAAGCCAAAATCCCACCATAGAATTTCTACTTTCAGCCATACTCAATTTTTTTTTCCTAATCCTACAATACAACTACCTTTTTATAGAATTTTTCATGGGCCATTCTTCTCATCATGTGTGGACAATTTGAAATTTTAATTAAAATTGGGCTTGGTTCCATCACCCAAAAAATTTCTCATAGGTTCAATTTTCTTTATATTTTCTTAGTTTTTTATTATGAGTGGTTCCAATAATTCACCATACCTAGCACAAAATTATGAATGGATTAAAATTTGAACTCAAAATATGACATGACAACCCATATTATTAATTAACTCAAGAAGATTCATAACTAGCTTTGGATTCCAAACTACCCAAGAAGAATCCCATCATTCAACAACATCAAAATATAGAAACACGATCATCAGCAATAGAGAATCAAAAGGAAAGTCAGCCATTACTAAATTAGAATCCAAAAATTGTTGTGCAGGCTTGTCTAAGATGTAACCAAATGGATCACTTTATAAGTAATTGATTAAAAGTAAAAGCATGCTCATAAATTTTAGAGAAGAAATATAAAGAATACCATGAAAGGAATATGTGGATGGCTTCAAAAAGTAATTGATTAAAAGTAAACGCATTCTCATTTTATTGGATTCTTATTGGAATTCGGTAATTTGAAAATGGAAGAATTTTTATCGCTAAAATTAATTGTATATGTTGTTTTTGATTGATTTTTTATTGAGTGTACTGTTTCTCATTTTGATTCATTTGTATGCTATCAATTGATCAGTTGCAGCATGTAAAATTCATAAATAATGAGTATCAAAAATATAATTCAAATTATTCTCACCTTGTGTATGATTGTTATATATGTATGTATATATATATACATATACATGTATATATATATATTAAAATGAAATCGATATTTGGTAGAGGCCCAAATACTGATTTCCCATGTGCTAGGCCCCATGATGAGAGCCCGCGCCATGTGCCTAAATATTTGAGAACCCAACGCCAATGGGGATCGAACCCGTGACCTGAGGGGACTTACAGTGAACCCCGCCAACCAACATGCCACGACTTGCAGCACATAATAATTTGAGCACTCCACAAGTGTGGATGACTCCTTATAAAGGAAGACACTACTATGAGGTATGATTCTTCTCAGTTGGTGTGATTTATACTTTTGTTGTTGTCTTTTAAATTATTTATTCAATAGTTTTGTGTGATGATTGAAATCATGTTAAGTCATACATGGTGTGTCTATTTTTAGATCATTTTTTTATATATTTTCTTTTACATTGGGATTTAATAACTTGATTAAGTGCTGAAGTTTAACATTTATCATTGTTTTCTTTTTGAGTAATTTTAGATTTTAAGCAATTGTTAAATTATCTATTGGAATGAGCAAAGTATATTTGGAATGAACAAAGCATAATTGATGCCTTTACATTAAAAGAAATAAATTTATCTTCTGAAGTATGAACTAGATTAGTTGCTAAAGTTTATTATTCATGATAGCTTCAATTAAAATTTTAAATTATACGTGATTGTTAACTTATATCTTAGAGTGACCAAATCCTATTTTTTGTCTTCACATTAAAACCTGATTTGCAAAATATAATTTTTAGAGTTTTTTTATGAGAAGACAAACAACATGATTTGGCCATTCCAATAGATAATTTAAAAATCATGTATATGGACTGTTTATGAGCCAGAGTTACATAGAGTCCTTTTTTGCCTCACAAAGTCGCATGACTAAGCTTTTCACTTTAATAATCAATTGGGCTATTGTTTTGAGAATTCCAATAGCAGACGCATCAGTATCAAAGAGACGTGAACAAAACCATGATGGCAGAGAGATGACTTAACAATAATGTAAAATATAAAATTCTGCATCATAAACGATGAATAATAAGTTTAGAATTAATCAAGTCAATACATCAAAAGATAAATTTATTGCTTTAACGCAAAAATAACAAATAAGTTTTGTTCGTTCTAATAGATAATTTACAAATCACCAAAAGTATATATAATTAAATATAAAATAATGATGAAAAATAAACTTCAACATCTAATCGGTTTTATATTTCAAAAAGTGGACACATCATGTACGTTTTAAAATGATTTCAATCACTATAAAAAATTAATGACAATATAATTTAAAAAACAAGACTAGAAGTCATCCCTCTATAAGGAGTCATCCACAGTTCTGCAGCTCTCAGAACGCATAGGAATTTAAATGCCCCAACACTTTCATTGATGGCATACATAATGAGAAAAAAGCTGAAACTATACTTTGATACTCGTTGTTTCAAGAATTTTAAATGCCCCAAGATTTTCATTAATAGCATACAAATGAGCCAAAATAAGAAACAACACACTTGATAAAAAAATCAATTCAAAACAACAAATCCAATTAATTTTAGAAATGCATATTTTCCCATTCTTCAAATTACAGAATTGCATTAAGGATTTAACAGAAACCAGAAAGAATATCCTATGATGAGATGGTAATGTGATGGACTTGAAACTTAGGCATATGAATAATATTATAATTGTAATAACTAGTAAGAATACGAGAAAATAAATAATAATTTAACCGAAAAAAAGCACCAACAATAATAGGGAAAAAAACATAGCAATATAAAATAACAAAGGGAATGGATTATTTGTGATAACATCAAATAAGAGTTAACAACAATGTTTGCAGTCGCAATGGGAAGACAGCACAACAGCATCAAGATATTTTAAAGAGAATTTAAAATTACAAAATATAACAATCAACAAAAATAATATTGACAAGAGAAAAAAATAAAGAAGGACAGAAAACATCCATAGCAGCAGCAAATAATGAAGAAATGGAATGATTTTAAAAGAGAAAATAGCAGCGATGAATAATGAAGAAATGGGATTAGCAGTGAGCATTGTTCAAAATTTTGCAATCAGAGGCACGCTTTGAGACCCGTCTCAGCTCAATTCTGAAGAAACATGCTTCGAGTCTTACGCCTAGAGCAGCTCGTGCGACACGTACGCCTCACATTGGTTGAGGTACATCTCAAGGCCGCCTCGCCTCAATTTTGCTGATGCATGCACGTATTGTGCTTAGATCTTTTTTTCTCTATATTATGTGGTTTGAATATGAACCAAGGTCGTACTCTCGCGAGCCAGAGCTTACTACTCCTTAGTCAAGCTTCCCAACATCTTCGCCTGCTGCTTTTGTTACCAAAATCACAGCATTGTCACTGTTGCTATTGCCACCAACATCGTCGTCATTGTTTGTTGTTTCTGCTATAACGATCATCTGTTTCTTCTGATCTAGTCGTCTGTTGCTCGCATTGCAACCACCGTCATTTGATGTTCCTGTTGCCACCGCCAACAACTCTCGTCGTCGTCGTTGTCACAAGTTGTTCTAAATTTTGATTATTTATTATGTTCTTATTTAGATTTATAGATCTTATTATGCTCTATTTCACAACTGAGACCAAACAGAGTTTAAATCATGTTTATCTTGATTTGCATACTTGAGGCCTTCAATGTATCTTACAACTAATTGATTATTTGACTCATTAAAATTATTTATAGTACTTAAGAGATACAATTCCCAAATATAATCACTAACCAATCACTTTCCTTGCAAACTGTGTTGATATTGTACATATAGCGTTCAAAGTTTGTTTACAAGGAATATCCTCATATGAGTTATTTCTTTATGAACCAACAAAGAAAAACCGTTTTCCTTCTCACCTACAATTCTATAATAATTGTAGCCAGCACGTAACAGACCCCCTTTTAAACAACACGTGACATAGTTAACTTACTTTTCTAGTGGGATTTCCATATATTCGAAGAAGGTCTGAGCCGCTTATTCCCAATTGAGATAATCTTCAATATGTAATTGGCCATCCAAAAAGGGAATGTCCTTTCTAACTCGAAATTCACCATAGTTTTGTTCACATCCCTTTGATATTGCTCGTCTTCATCTCATTTGAATAGATCAAATATATGATTGGTTGCGAACTCGCCATCCGAGTCTGGAATGATAAGGTTCTCCATAAAGTTCCTTCTCCCATCATGAAACATGTTAAAATTTAAAAGAACAATGATTTGGTCATTCCAAAAGATAATTTAGCAATCCCTATGATACTGACAC